GGGTTAGCTCCTGCGTACCTAACTAGTCTTCTACCACGCTACAATCCATCACGCTCCCTAAGGTCGCAAAACTCTGGACTTTTGGTAGTACCTAGGATAGCAAAGTCCATTAAAGGAGGTAGAGCTTTTTCGCATTTGGCTCCCAAACTCTGGAATAGCCTTCCTGATAACGTTCGGGGTTCAGACACACTCTCTCTGTTTAAATCTAGATTAAAGACACATCTCTTTGGCCAAGCATTCAAATAATGTATCTCATAATCTTGTACTGCAGTTATATCTGATCAAATGCACATTAATATTCTTTAGCTTGGGTTAAACAAATCAATTTTGCTTGGTTGGATCAGCAGCTATGCTAATTATGTCTCTATTTGTTTCTCTGTTTTTGCCACGGGATTGACATCGAGGATTTACATAAGCTTCAGTCTGGATCCAGAACACCTGAGAAGAGATGATGCCAACCCCTCAGAGGACCTCAGATGATGCCAACCATGAAACAACATACAGAACTACCAAATTTTTTGTTGCATCATATAACAATTGCTGTTAATAGTGTTCATCGTCTGTTTGATTACGTCTTTAATTGATTTTCCGCCATATGTACATTAACTGACAGTCACCACTGATAAGCTACTACTAAATATTGTAGAAACTTAATTTGCTGTAAAGTTGCTTTGCAACGATTTGTATTGTGAAAAGTGCTATACAAATAAACTTGATTTGAATTGAATTGAATTAAAAAACAGGCAAGCAAATAGATCTGTGTGACTTTTACAAGGGCCAAACAGTGATGGCTAGATGACTGGGTCAAAGCATCTCCAAAACACCAAGTATTGTGGGGTGTCCCGGTATGCAGTGGTTAGTACATAACAAAAGTGCTGCAAGGAAGGACAACTGATGAACTGGCATCAGGGTCTTGGAGAGAAGGCTAGCCCATCTGGTCTGATCAAACGGAAGAGCAACTGTAGCTTGAATTACTGAAAAACTTAATGCTGGCCATGATAGAAAGGTGTCAGGACACACAGGGCATATGAGCGTCAGGACTGGACCGTGGAGCAATGGAAGAAGGTTGTCTGGTCTGATGAATCACGTTTTCTTTTAGATCAAGTGGAGAAGGCAACAGGATGCAATATGGGAAGAAGGCAGGCTGGCGAAGCATTGATATGCTCTGGCCAATGTTCAGCTCGGAAACCTTTTGTGTTGGCATTCATGTGGATGTTACTTTTAAAATGTACCACCTACCTAATGATTGTTTTAGACCACGTGCACCCTTTATGCAATGGTGGTCCCTGATGGCAGAGGCCTTATTCAGCAGGATAATGTACCCTGGCACATTGCAAAAATTGTTCAGGAATGGATTGAGGAACATGACGAGTTTCCTTGGCCTCCAAATTCCCCAGATCTCAATCTGATTGACCATCTATAGACCACCATTAGACCAAACTGTTCTCGTTACTTAACCATTCCATTCCATGCCGATCCAAGCAAGCCGGATATGGTTTCATTTTTCATTGTGGGGTTGATAAAAGAGCTCTTTGGAATGTAATACAAATGCATCAGTTATTGCCTTGTAATCCAAGTGTTAACAGACAGTATGAGATGTAAATAGTGACCACATTATGGAGAATTATCAGATATTTTAATTTGCTCAAATAGTGTTTACTTTACTCAAATAGCGTGCTTGGCCAGCTATTAAGTGAAAATGGTAGCCAGACAACAAACAAGTAACCAGTCCACTTCCAGGTCGAGAAAGGTTTGTAATCATGCCGTGCCAAACCAAGGTCAAGTGGAAATATTAGGAATGTAACAATTCCTTACCATTCTTAGAACTGTCTGGACAGACGGTAGAAAAATTACTTGTGGGATGTGCTAGACCAACAAACCCAGCAAGGTGGCCTAACCTTGCAACTGGCAGGACTTAAAGGATCTGGCTAATGTGCCAGATCCATTAAGTACCACATGACAGATTTAGAGGTCTTGTGGAGTCCATGCCTTGATGCATCTGAGCTGTTTTGGCAGCATGAGGGTGACCTACCTCATGTTAGGCAGGCAGTTTTAATGTTTTGGCTGATCAGTGTACATAACATATACAGTGTAGTGCTCATACTGTATATTGATCTGATTAATTTAGTTGAACATTGTATGACGACATGTTTTATGGAATGAAAGTTATGGACAAACTCATCAAATGCAGTTTTTTGGATGTTAAAGGTTAACTTCATAACAGGTCTGGTTATCAGAAGTCACTTGTTTTGACCACTAGAAGGGAGTTAATCTACTTTCTGGTTATTTTCAAAATGACGATTTTTGTTGGGGTTGAAGAAGAGAAAGATAGTGAGAAAAAAGGAACCATCTTACACCCCATCAGGCCCGATCTGAGGTCACAGCTAGAGAAGGAACAGGAGGAGAGAACATCAGGGACACGCCCGATATTAATAGTTTGAAATCACACCAATGTATTGTGCAATACCACAAATTTAGTACCCTATTAGCAACTCACATTGGAACAGATGGAGTTCAGAGTGGAGATGAAGAATGCAAATTAGACATGTCTTGACATTTTAAATAAAGTTAGGAGTGACAGAGAATGTGTTTTGGTTTATTTTAGCATTTGTGGAGTCTAATATCGGATCACGCATGGCCTATTGTGTAAATTGTAGTTAGTGCTTGAAATACAGCTTAGCACTGACTGATTAGTGAAAGATACTGTAGCTCAAGAAAAGTCTATAGACTTACGGAGTGATGCCCCAGTTGACCCGCCTCTCAGGATCTGGTTGAGCACATTGTCTGTGTCACTGGTGCTAGCCATGCTGTTCCTCATCTGCATCATAGACAGCTGAGAACATAGACTTGGCTGACGGTCCATTTTCTTTACAGCCTATGGTTCAACCACCATACATTTAGTTATAAATAATTCTGAATTTAGCTTTGTAAAGACACACGC